CATTTGCGTATATCTGAATATTAATGGTTCCTGAAACTCACCATGAGGGGTGAAACCCAGATGTGTGTTGAGACCCTTTACAGAGGTTCACTGAATATTTTATAATGAAAAACTGACATATTATTTATAGCCAAGTATTTTATAAATGTTAAAATGTCTCTGGAAGTGATCTTTAAGACATTTGTCTGTACACAAGCAGTTGTTCATGAGCTTTACTAAAACACATCATATGTGAAGTTGGGTGACAGCTTTCTGTGAGTTTAACAAGACACTATGAAATGATGAATCAGCACTGAGAGTGACAGGTCTCTAAAACTAGCGTGTTTACAAAGGAAAGTTGCTCCATCTGTGCAGATGTGCATGCATTGACAGAGGTGACAAGTGTCTCAGCTCATGAGGGTAAGGCTAGATTTCTCTTTCAGGAAATGGGGAGGATACAGTAGTCATAGTGTGAAAAACAACAAGTCTGAAGAAATCACGTGATGAAACACACTTCCTCTAACAGGCCTCTGCGTCTTGTCTTTTGTGATCGGTGACACACAGATGGCGGGTACGAGGTAAGATCATATTAAAAGGATCTATCAGGCTTATAATGATCTCTGATGTAATGATATAGCTTTATTGTTTTGGTTTGTGCTGGTGTCTGACTGCAGGGTTCTTCAAAACTCCTCTGGCTGTAACACTTGTTTGATTGGATTTATTTGGCTGTAGGCCTTCACTCTCGGCTATGTGATGGATGAAACACAAACATGCTATGAAATTAACTGATAGTCCTAATTTTTGTATATTTTAGACAGATGCCATAAGTCAAACTTGAAGGGATAATGACATAATAGTGAAGTCCCTTGAGGAAAAGTTCTGATTTGTCTTACTGGGCAATATATAGAGAAGATGACTTGAGTTTATATTGCGTTGTTCACAAAATGTGAGGAGGTGGTGATAAGATACCATGCATGGCTGAATTTCCAGCTTCTGTTTGGAGGGTTTAAGTTTTTCCTTCCTTTGTTCAGTTTGCTGAATGCCTTTAGCTTTCAGCATGTTTTACATGTGTGACGACAGCAGCTGCCCTGCTGTGTATTGTGGTTTTATCTGACAGTTATTAACAGGTTCAAACCGAACCTAAACCACTAACTCTGAACTCACAGTGATGTTTCAAATATCTGCTGAAAGCTGACTGTGGGATGATCATTTGCCTGCATCAGAGCCAATCATTTAATTCATCTTCAAACCTCTTTAACTTGGAAATTTTATACTTAGAATATACAGTAAAAAAGATAAAACAATACAATATAGAAAATATTAGTTGCAATTCTCCCACCCAGCCACATTTAGGAAAAGCAAGGCAACTTTATTTATGTAGAATATTTCATACACAGGCAAAGAGAAACAGTGGCAGCACTGAAACCAGAATAAGACCAGTTAAGACAAAAAAGAACAAAACTAACTGTTAAAGGCTTCAGTCCTTCAAGATGTGTGTTGTGTTTGTTTCATTTGAATGCAAACTTTTTAATTTTAACCAATTTTTTTAACTACTATAGAGCTCTGGTATTTATATACAGTATATAGATTTGAAATATATATTATCATCACTTATTTATATATGTTGGATTTTGAGTCTTCTTTTTTAAACTGAGGTTTTACTAGTTGAGTGACAAGGATATATGTGAAAAATGTGAGCTTTTACTCTTAATTGTTATTAGAATTTAATCTTAAATTAATTTGGGGCTCAGGTGTTGCACTATAATTTTAATTTTATGCACTTTAAATATTTTTGCAGCTCAGGGCTGGCTTATGTTAATTTATTTAAAATTTTTGTTATTTTGTGTATAACTATTTTGTAAGTCTAGTTTTTTGTTTTGATGCTCCTTGTTCTTCACTGAGGTTTTCCTTGTAGCTGGCAGGCAGAGGGACAAATGTTGTGCAATCACAGTGAAGCAACCCTAGCTACAAACAGGAACCCAAACAGGAAAAAGTCAGACAGCCCTCAGACTTTTCTGGATCCAATGTCACCTACAGAATTTAAAATAAAACGTCACAAATAAAACATGAAACACAAACACACACACACACACACACACATATATATATATATATGTATATATAAAATTTCCCACTTCGGGGTGTTGCTTATTTCAGGGTCTTATTCCTTCCTTCAAGCTTGGGTCCTCTACCAGAGGCCTAGGAGCTTGAGGGTCCTGCGCAGTATCTTAGCTGTTCCTAGGACTGCACTCTTCTGGACAGAGATCTCAGATGTCGTTCCTGGGATCTGTTGGACCCACTCTCCCAGTTTGGGGGTCACAGCCCCCAATGTTCCTATTACCACGGGGACCACTTGTGCCTTCACTTTCCACATCTTTTCTAGCTCTTCTTTCAGCCCTTGGTATTTCTCAAGCTTCTTGTGTTCCTTATTCCTGATGTTGCTATTGCTTGGGATTGCTACATCTATCACTACAGCCTTCTTCTTCCTCTGTTTGTCCACCACTACTATGTCTGGTTGGTTGGCCATTACCATTTTGTCAGTTTGTATCTTGAAGTCCCACAGGATCTTAGCTTGGTCATTCTCAACCACCTTTGGAGGTGTATCCCATTTTGACTTTGGGACTTCCAGCCTGTACTCGGCACAGATGTTTCTGTACACTATGCCAGCCACTTGGTTATGGCGTTCCATGTATGCCCTGCCTGCTAGCATCTTGCACCCCGCTGTTATGTGCTGGATTGTCTCAGGGGCATCTTTGCACAGACTGCACCTGGGGTTCTGCCTGGTATGGTAGACCCCGTAAGTAAGGAATAAAAAAAAAATAGGAAAAGAAACTTAAGTTCATATGACTCAATTATTACAATTAATACCCCTTGTAACATTTCACAACTTTTAGATGTCAGACTATGAATGAAAATGTTAGATCGCTGACTTGTAAAGCAGGTGAATGAGTGTCATTACAAATTATCACCTGATGATAAGTTTTCTGACTCCTCAAACCTTGTGGCAACATTCAGCATAGGCTCCTTTAAGAAACAGAAGATCTGTAGATGAAGTTCACTAGATACAGTGCAGGGGAGGTTACTACAAATATCCAAGTGCCTCCAGACACTGCTGATAAATCCAGAACTGTCTGTGAACCGAGTGAGAAACAAACAGACACCAACACAGAGTAAAACATCGCCATTGACTCTGACTTCTTATTTCCATGTCAACAGAATCACAAACCTCCAGAGTGCTGCAAAACAGCCACCAGTGATTCAGCCTCCACAGCGCAGTACCATGGTGCAGGGAGCAGTGCAGATGCGCATTAAAAGCTCGCAGAGCTCCGGAGACCGCTTGAGCCAGTCCAAGTCCATGGTGCTGCCGGAGGTTGACCTTTCTCAGAAACCTGTACGTGGACCACAAACATATTCATCCTACAGGTGCAAGTTTAGTTTTAATCAATATTTTCTGTTTGTAGATCTCTCGGCATCGCAGGAATCAATCTCAGCACAATGTCGTCATCGCAGGGGCTGCTGTGTTTGAACCACCTGTGAGTACAGTGGTCAGCAAAAATATCCCCATGCTGTCAGCTCACTCCTGTCTGAATCCTAAATATACTGTTTTCCCTTTGGATGGATGTTTTGATGATGAAACTTATACAGGAAGAAAATCTGGAGAACACTTTTATGTGTAATTAATTAATTTCATGATTCACAGCACTCCTGTCCCATCCCAGGCTTAATTTCAACTCCTTCCTCTATGATCAAAGCTGCTACTACCTCACCTGCTGTCACCTCTGACACACTGCTTTCCATTTTAACTTTAATACTCACAGATAAAATTGCACTGGGTGATTCATTTCTTCATTACAACATTTTTAACAAATATGTGGGTCTGGAGCTTCATAATAGAGAAACATGTCACCCAGTGCAGCGGTGTGTTTCACTGATATGGTTTTAATCACTTTAACAACAATGGAGGTCTGTGGCACAGACCAACAAACTAATCCATCAGTGACAGACAGTCATTAACCGTGAGTAAAGGCAGGTCACTGCCGGTTTTAGTCTTTGTATGGGAAGTGTTGAAAGTACTGCTATAAAGAACATGACTGACCGCATCCTTTAAATAACTGAACATTTCAGGAATTTAAGCAAGTTTGTTTATTTTGTATTTGTCACGTACCAATTTTTTTATTTTTATATAGCCCATTAAAAAAAAATCACAAATTGGCCTTGAAGAACTCCACATGCACATCATAGGACACGGGCTGTCCCTTAAACCCTGGAAAAAAGAAAAGGGCAAACTCCCAACGTGTGTGTACTTCTACCTGTCTGTGTGTTTCCAGGTAGAGCTGAAAGGTGAACACCTGAATGTGGCTAAAATCTCAGAGAGCGGTAAGAAGCAAAGGAAGAACTGGACTTTGATGTGGACTGTGCTGACCTCAGACCAGCTGCTGTTTTATAAAGACAGACCACAGGAAACTGGCATGGTAGGAAAATTGTGTATCTGTAATGTTTTTCTATACCTGCATCCCTTTATCTCTACTTTTTCTTCATCTGTTATTTTCTCTTCTTTATTCCGTTGTTTATATTTTATTCCTGTATCTCTGTCTGTACTGGCTCATTGAATCTCTTACGGTAAATAACCCAAGGACAGGACTCAAAGTGCACCACAAGAATTCTGGAGAAAAATTGTTTTATTCAAAGAACAGAAATAAATGGAAAACAGGCTCGACAGGCTGATCCAGGCGGTGTAGACTGAACAGCTGGAGGAGAACTGGGCATGCCATGGAGAGAATCAAAGCGTACAGGCGGGGGTGTTGGTGAGCCATGTGCTCTGCAAGCTGCACCGGGGACTGGGGTAGATGCAGGAGAGCTGGTGGGGAAGCACAGAAGCTGACTGTGGTGGATAACCAGGGAGGCTGCAGGGGGAGTGCGGCTGGTGAAGACGGATGAAGCCGCTCCTCTGGGTAGGTGATGACAGAGACAGGTGGACACCGGAGAAACAGCGAGCTAGAGACAGCAGGACTTACCAAAGAAGAGGTGGATTGGAGAGGGCAGGTTTCACTGGAGCAGCGGAGAGCTGAGGAGTGGGAAGCTGGGTAGGTGACCCTCATGGAGCAAGCAGAGACCGAATGATCAATGCGGTGTGACTCCTGAAGCGGGCAGCGGACTGGAGATGACAGGTAGGACACGCACCACCAGCGAGGCAGGTAACAGGTAAGCAGGAGCACTGGACACTCAGGATCTGGAAACAGAGCCTGTAACTAGTGATGGTCCTCTGACACCCGAGGCTCCGACACACGCGCGGTAGCTCATGAAGCAATTGTATCGAACCACTGTGCGGATGCATATTTTGGTCATGTGACTGGTGATGTTCGAAGCACTTGAGTGATGTTTGAAGCAGTTGAGTTGTCGGACTTCACATGAATCACCTGACTGGTTCAGTTTGTCATGTGAATCACTCTGTGTATCGAGTATGTTCAGGGATAGGATATCCCTATCTCAATAAAAACTCATAAACAGTTACCTAATTTCCGGACTATTGAGCACACCTGAATATAAGCCGCACCCACTAAATTTAAAATTTAAAAAACTGTTTGTATATAGCCGCAGGTGTCCAGGTTGTAACATGAGATATTTCGACAGGCAGATCTATCGCCTTTAACTTGAAAGCTGCATCATATGCATTTCGTCCTGTGTTTTCCATGATGAGGGTGTGTGCATGAAGCGAAACAAGTAGCGGCTTATAGTCCGGAAATTATGGTACACAAGCACACCCACTGCCCTGTTCTTCAAGCACACCCTCTTTACCCACATACCTATGAATCTCTTTACCAATGAACCTCAAAACACACTTTGCCAAAGTCCATAATATAATATGTCTGAATTTGTAGAGCACATCTCATGAAAATGGCAGCACCATTTAAACCAGTGGTCCCCAACCCCCGGGCCGCGGACCGGTACCGGTCCGTGGATCAATTGGTACCGGGCCGCACAAGAAATCATTAATTATTTCCGTTTAATTTATTATCTGAGTCCGAACGATCTTTTATTTTGAAAAATGACCGTATTCTCTCGGTTACATCTCGGTTACTTGAGCGCCAAAACTGGCTTACTTGTGGATATATTCAGCCTGCTCAATGAACTCAATCTGTCACTTCAGGGGAAAATGACAACTGTCTTCAAGTTGGCAGATAAAGTAGCTGCATTTAAAGCCAAACTGGATTTGTGGGGACGGCGCGTCAACAGAGGCATTTTGGACATGTTTCAAACATTAGCGGGGATTTTGGGTGAGACTGAGCCTGAGCCTTCATTCTCCCAGCTGGTGCACGATCACATGTCTTTGCTTTTAAAAGAGTTCGAGCGCTACTCCCCAACCACTTAAAAGTATGTTTGAGACAACAACTCTGCCGGTGTTCTGGATTAAAGTCATGACAGAATACCCTGAGATCGCCACCACAGCACTGAAAACCCTGTTGCCATTTCCGACATCCTATCTGTGTGAAGCGGGTTTTTCTGCAGTGACAGTAACCAAAACAAAACAACGGAGTAGACACACTTCGGGTGTCATTGTCTCCTATTACCCCCACATGGGACCGTCTCGTTGCAGAGAAACAAGTTCAGGGCTCCCATTGATTTAGCGTTAGGGGGAGTTAAAAATTTCAACACAGGGGATTCACGTTTATTATTATATTAACAATATACACAATCTACGTAGCCCATTCATTTATTTATTTATTTCTGTTATATGTTTACTCCCTGCCATTACTTTATCTTTGTTGTTAACAGGAGACTGAAGCTGATCTGGTAGATTACTTGCAGCAACTAAAAGGATCAAAGATTTTTATTGTCAATTCACTATATGTGCAGGACATACAGAAAATCAAAATACCATTTCTCTCTCACTTAGTATTGAATGCCATACCATTTAGGAAACTAAGTAGAATAAAAGTAGAGTAAAAAAAATTGACTAAAAAAGAATAAGAAAACTAAATCAAAGTGATTAGGATTAAACTAAACGGTACAACCTCATAGGCTATAACTCAAACCATGTACAATCAGTGACAGTAGTGCAAATAGTAACAAGAAGATTGTCAGATGGCTGTGAGATTGAGATGCACATGGACAGTAGTGCAAATGACCAACAGCAGCAGATTTACATGTAATATAACAGGAAGGGAGAAGCATTAAAAAAAAACTTAAATTCACTGAAAATGATTTCTCTTTTTTACTTAGTAAATCAATAAGTACAGCTACGTTATGCTGTTTATTTGGCTTCGCATCTCATTAATTTAGTTCAGGGCTGTTCAAGAAGTGGTCTGCAGCTCCCTGCTGGTCCGTGAAGACATTGCAGGTAGTCCCTGCCCATGTAATTGATAATTCAAGGTCAAAGTGTTTATTTGTCATATGCACAGTTAGGAAATGTGTTTCCCTGTACAATGAAATTCTTTGCCATCCACATGAATGCCATATAATACAAGTGAAATATAAAGTAGATGATCTAAATAGGCAGTAAAATCACCAATCTAAGGCACTTTAAAGCAGCAATGAAGGAAGCAAGTAAAAGTACAGCCAGAACACAATATAATACAGAGAGATTATATGCTACTTGGGAGCCATGGAGTGCAAATACTCAGCAGTGAGTATACAATTATGCATGTGCAAAATGAATAAGTAAACAGTACAGATGGAATTACATGTGTTAGATCCTGAGTCAGCTGTTTAGGAGTCTGATGGCAGTCAGAAAGAAAGAGTTTTCAGTCTAGAGGTCCTGCATTTCACACTTCTGAGCCTCCGACCAGAGGGCAGGGGTATGAACAGTTTGTGCTGGGGGTGGGTGGGGTCCTTGAGGATGGAGGCAGCTTTCCTACGCACCCTGCAGTGGTAAATGCTCTGCAGAGAGGGCAGTGGAGTCCTGGTGATTTTCTCCACAGTCTTTACCACTCTCTGCAGGTGCTTGCGGTCCATAGCAGTTGTGCTGCCATACCAGACAGTGATGCAGCTGGTCAAGATGCTCTCGATGACGCAGCTGTAGAAGTTGCTGGAGATCCTAGGCGACATGCCAAACCTCCTCAGCCTCCTCAGGAAGTACAGCCGCTGTTGGGCCTTCTTGACCAGCTGTGTGGTGTTATGTGTCCAAGTGAAGGCCTCACTAATGTTGAGAAAACTTAGAAAAAACAAGGTCGAAGATGTTTCACCTCTCCTCCAAGAGGCTTCATCGGTTCTGATGATCAGAATCTCTTGCATGACAGGTGAAATGTCTTCGACCTAAAAACCTAGTCCAGTTGTTTTTTCTAAGTTTTTTTCAGCTTACTATGACCCGGATGACTGAGAATCTGCACGGACATCCTCAGTGATGTGGACGCCCAGGTATTTGAAGCTGCTCACCCTCTCCACTTCGAGCCCCTGTATGAACAGTGGCCAATGAGTTCTCCTCTCCTTCCTCATGTCCACATCATCTCCTTCGTCTTGTCCGTGTTGAGGCTGAGATTATTGTCCTTGCACCATGACACCAGACTGGCCACCTCCCTCCTGTAGGCTGCTTCGTCCCCACCAGTGATGCGACCTATCACTGTGGTGTCGTCTGCGAACTTTAGGATGATGTTGTCTTTGTGGGAGGTGACACAGTCATGGGTGAACAGGGTGTAGTGGATGGGACTGAGGACACATTCCTGTGGAGTGCTGATGTTTGTGATAATGCTGGCTGAAGTCCTATTGCCAATCATGACAGTCTGGGGCCTGCCAGTCAGAAAGTCCAGGAGCCAGTCACAGAAGGTGGGGTGCAGACCTAGTGTTGTCAGTTTGTGGGTGAGTTTGTCGGGGATAGCTGTGTATAAGGTGTTGTACTCAATGAAGAGTATCCTGATGTAGGAGTCTCCATTTTCCAGGCGAGAAAGGGAATAGCGGAGGACAGCCATGATAGCATCTGAGGTGGCCCTTTTGGGCCAGTAGGCATACTGGAGGGGATCCAGGGCCTCCAGTATACTGCTCTGGATGTGGGCTAGCATCATTCTCTCAAAACACCTCATAATGATTAGGGTGAGTGCCACTGGCCTGTAGTCGTTCAGGCAGGTGACCGGGCTCTTCTTGGGAAGGGGGACGATGGTTGTGGCCTTAAATCAAAAGGGAACGATGCTCTGGCCGAGGGAGAGGTTGAAGATGGTCGTGAGAAAATCAGCCAGCTCGCTGGCACATGCCCTGAGAGCCCTCCCAGGGATGTTGTCGGTCCTGCTGCTTTGCGGGGGTCGATCTTCCTCAGTACTTTGCGTACCTGGCCTGGTGAGACAGTTAATGGAGGGGAGGGAGGTTGGGTGGTCCAGCTGTGTGTGCTTCTTCTCTGTGCTGTGGCTGGAGGTCTCAAAGCGGGTGTATAAGGTTTTGAGGCTATCTGGCAGGCTGTCTGTGGAGCTGATGATGCTCGTGGTGGTCCTGTAGTCTGTGATGTGCTGCAGGCCTTGCCACATTCATCCGGAGTCAGCAGTAGAATAGAAGCCATTCAGCTTCTCCCTGTACTGCCTCTTGGCCGCTGTGATGGCTTTCCTCAGTCTGTACTTTGCAGCTTTGTGCTCCATCTCATTGCCTGATTTGAATGCATAAGAGCAAGGACGCAGCATGTGGCGTACCTGACTGTTTATCCAGGGCTTCTGGTTGGGAAACCTCCTGACTTGTATGGTGGGCACAATGTTTTCATTACAGGTACTAATGTACCCGGTCACATACTCCTGTACGCTGACAGAAAAGTCCTCTGAGGTGGCTCCAGCTTTAAACATATCCCAGTCTGTCTGGGCAAAACAGTCCTGCAGGGTGCCTTCAGTCTCTGGGGTCCAGAGTTTAATTTGTTTGGTGACAGGGCTTGTTTGTTTCAGTCTTTGTCTGTAAGCTGGATACAGGAACAAAGAAATGTGGTCCAAGCGTCCAAAGTGGGGGCGGGGCGCAGCCCTGTATGCACACCATATGTTACTGTAAACATGGTTCAGAGTGTTCTTGTCCCGGGTGGGAATGTTCACATGTTGGTAATATTTGGGAAGTACAGTCCATAAATTGCACTGGTTAAAGTCGCCTGCAGCAATAAATACAGCATTGGGGTGAACTGTCTCTAGCACACTGATGACGTCATGGAGTTTGCCGAGCGACGTTGAGGGATTAGCTCTTGGGCTAACATACACAGCAACCAGAAACACAGCACTATGCTCTCTTGCTAGATAATAGGGCCGGCATTTCAGCAATAAAAACTCCACTTCTGGCGAACAGTGCTTATAAACAGTTCGTACATCTCCACACCACGAGTTATTGATAAACACAAACACACTGCCTCCTTTTACCTTCCCCGAAGCAGCAATGCGGTCTGCCCAATGTACAGAGTGGGTCTGTAGCTGAATCACGGAATCTGGGATTTTGTCAGAAAGCCAAGTCTCGGTGAGAATTAGACAACAGCATTATCTTATTTCTCGTTGTGTTGTAATCCTAGAACTTAGCTTGTCCAGTTTGTTTTCCAGAGACTCTACGTTAGCTAGGAAGAGGCTGGGTAGTGGTAGTTGGGTAACGTGGGCTTTTAGCCTAGCATGGAGCCCTCTTCTCTTGCCCCGTCTGCGTCTCCGTGTCTGGATCGCTGTCCTGGGGTCAGCCTGCTCACTCGTGCCTGGTGTTTTGGGGGCTCCCCAGGGGTAATGGTGGTTGAACAATGAGTTGTAGCTCCGGTGGTATGAAACTAGTAAATTCCCAGTGGCTGTGGGAGTTGGCGATGTCCAGCAATGCCTGTCTGTTGTATGTTAGCAGTGCATGACATTTATGCACTGCAGAAAGAGTAAAAAACACACAAAAAAGAAGAAAACTGTCATGATTCTGTCCCGCCTGCTTCCAGTTTCATGCTTTTCTTTTGACACTACTTCCTGTCCCCAGCTCACCCTTACTCCTGGGAACTTTATCTCATCACCCACATTGGTTTCCCCTGCTTCTCATTACTCACACCTGGTTACAACAGCATATAGGCAGCTTCCCCACACCAAGAAGCTGCCAGATCATTCTAACTCTTGTTCAGACTTTCCAGACCTGTACCTGTGATTCTAGCTCTGACACTAGTTTACCTTGTGACCACCGAGTACTGCCTAACCCCTCTGATTCTGATCATGTTTTCTGTGTATTGACCTTTGGGCTTCCCTTTTTGACCATGCTTTTGTGGATCCCTCGGTTGTGTGAGTTTGCTGGCTCTGACCCTGGACTGTAATACCAATCTGAGAGTGTGTTTCATGTTTAAGCAGTTTTCTGTATCGTTTTGTTTGTTGCCAGTGCTCTTATTAAAGAGAGAGTTTTGCTTTTACTCCTCTGGCTCTATAATTGAGTTCACCCTTTGACATTATCTGCAGCTTTACATGCCAATTCCTGACAGAAAACGAAGAAAAAGCCAGCATTTGGGAGTGGAACGCACAAACACGTCTGCCGTGGAGGGCGCCACGATACACAATCACACGATATAATACAATAATGTAGTGGGAATCTCAATTTTTTGAACACATTTCCATTTATTTCACTGTGGCCAGAAATGACAATAACAGCTAAGAAAAAAAAACCTTTCCTCACACCCCACCACGGTGGTCCTCAGGTTGCTTCTTGGCCAGAATGCTGGTCCCTGGGTCAGAATTAGTTGAAAACCCCTAGTTTAATTAATTCTTTTATTATAAATTATTGCTGAAGTACTGAAAACTGCCATCGTTCCCTGGCCATTTCCTGTTTTGTACTTTTATTTTGACACAGTTCCTGTCTCATGCCATCCTCACAAACATCTTGCTCAGTGTTTTCTCATCTGATTTTTGTGTATACCTGCTTCAAAACGTGCAATGTTAGTTACTCCAGTTTTTGTGTTCTGTGAATTTACTTAGCTGTAGTCCAGTATGGTTCTCACCTGAGTTATTTATAGTTATCCATAACCTGCTAGAGGTCTGGTTGTCTTTCTGTGTATATCTTACCTGTGCTTTGTTATGAAATCAACCTTAATATCCCCGCCTCCTGGTCAAGAGTCTGCACTGGAATTTTCAGACAAAAAAGACTCAAACCTTAACAGAAAGCTGCTTTAATAAATCATTTTAATCCACATTGCCCCTACTGGTTTACTGTCATACTTTCACACTTTGGAAGATGGTAAAGGTGACATTGTGTCTTCCTCTCTCTGTGTTAGAAACCGGGAAGCAAGACAGATGTGGTTCAGCTATGTGGAGCTATTACAAGATGGACGACAGAGAAGTCAAGCAAGAAAAATGTTTTCCAGGTAAAAAACACAAACCTGTCATACTTGATGCTGAACTAGGAGTCAGGCTGCTCTTTTGAGTGTTTGTAGGATATTTACTAAACCTGTCACAAATTACCATCAGGTGCACAAAGTACTGATCAGTACAAATGGGATATTTACTGACACCAACAGTGCAAATGAGCAGAGCTGTAGCAGTGTTAGTTTAATGCACTTCTGCTTATAAAGACTATCCTACATAGTAGCGGATGCTTCAACTGCGTCCAAATGTCCACTTTATTTGGTTTGAGCCCAGACAGGACAAAAACTAATTCATCTGCAATGTTTGTGTCAGACTGATATCTGCAGACAGTTGCTGGCCAGTGTTAGTTCCTGACAGGAATATGCTGAAAAAAGTAGCTTCCACACAGCTCACTTGACCTGTGCAGCCTCACATCTCATACCCAGAGATAATCTCTACAACAAAGCAAACCAAGAGGTCAGATCGTGCACCCAGCCACTGCAAAACTATTTGGGAGCGTCTAAGGCTTTGTAATTGTTAAACAATGTCCAAACATTCAACTTGGGCGCAGCTCTCTGTGACGATGCCTCGACACGCCCAATTGCAGAGAACCTGGCAGACCACAAAGAAAATGGAGGATATTAGATTTTGGCTTTTTTTAATTATTATTCTTTTCTGCAGCTCGTCTCCTCCTCCTCATCAAAACAACTAAAGCCAGAGCTTTTTGCTGACATCTAGATACATAGTGCTGCTCGAAAAACTAGTCAATATCATCTAACCACCTCCTAGAAAGCTCTTTGGTCACCTAGCAACTGGTGCCCTACGTGTGCACGATTTGTGCATGTGCGCTCCCCTCCCCTGTGCTGTGCCTAACCCTGCGGTGAGCACAGCACATACTGCGTCCTATCTGAATGTCCTTTAATCCAGTCTCCATCTGCCAAGTCACATGGATATGTTTATTTGTTGTTGTTGTTAAATTGTCCAGATGACATTACTTGGCACTGAGATTTCATTTCTCCTGGTAGAGTCAGTTTTCTTTATCTGTTCCCTTCTCCATGCCCCTGTTCTCTTACAGGCTTAGACAAAGCAACTTTTTAAGCAACTTTATAGCCAAACAAAATGATAATATATGCAGCTAAACACGTGCATACCTCTGAAAATAGCATCCCCATCTCAACATGGAACTGGGCGTGAGATACCTTCACATTCTCTATAAGGACCTGGTGCCTTTATTGTGCATGTGGACCGAGAGAGAGAGAGTGCAGAAGAAAGTGTACGTCTACTGTGACTGAACTTTAATATGGCTGAAGAAACCATCAAACCTTATTTCCAAACTGTAGTCATCTGCAGCCAAGTTCTCTCGTTTTGCTCTTTTTTTTGTCCTAGTTGAAGAATGGTTTGACTTGAAAGCCTGTGAAGGTCCTTCAGTTCTCTTCTGGCATCCCAAAAAGAGATGTGATTTACAAACACTTTCTCCTTCCTCACACGTTCTTAATGCTGATGAGGTCTTAAATAAATGAACAGCTGCTATGGTGACAGCAGTGCTACAGTGTGAACCTGCCTTCTCCTGACCTTAAACATCAGCCACAGTTCCTTCAGTCTGCAATG